GGGCAATTTAAATGTGTGTGTTAGTGGCAGTGTGGCCAGGGGCTGGACTGTTCTGAGAAATTCCAGGTGGCCTAGTGGTAACAGATGATGCAACTCAAATGTAATTTAAAGAGCAATGTATCTTATTTACACAGACTGACTTCTAAACAAATTAATTATAATTTAAAAACAGATTACTGTGAGTATCAATGCTGTAAAGCTCTATTATACACTCAGACACAACGACAATATGGAAATCCTAGAAAAGCCAGACAGAGTGTTTTTGGGATCAATATAGGGGCTCACTATTCTAAAAAAGGGCATTTGGGTCCGAATAACATGGGGGCTAATGGAGCTGCAGCTCAAGGCCCATTGGTTTATTCATTTATTTATTTTTTCTCTACTACTACTCACATGCTCTTATTTTGTGCCATGGAAACTTTAGAGGGATGTATGGGAACAAAACTAGTGTGAACTGGCTTATAATGAAATTAGTTAAAACAAAGTAAAGCTGACTTTGCACACTGTGCAAATGCTCTTGGTGCTTCAGTCTCTAACACTGAAGCATGTCCCCTTTCTTCTACACTCACTGCATACGCCTATTCTCTCTCCCAGGCTGCTTGCCAGTGCACGCTAGTATTAAGGTAAGAAGAGGAGTGGACAAATGATTGCTAGTGTACAGTACTTAGAAAGCGTAGAGCCAGCGCATTGTTACATGCATGTGCGTCAAGCTCACACGCTGTTTGCATAACACGCCCTTAGTTGGCCAGCCTGCATGATTGCGGTCATGCCAGGCTGGTCTTTCACTTCTTCAGGTAGACCTGCCCCATATCTGGGCATGTCTGCCCTTTTGGGTAGTGCCAATTACATGATTAGCGTCAGTGGTACACCCTACTTTCCCGCCCTCCAGATGCTGCCGTTAGGGGCTATGGATTTGATTGCGAGATGAAAGTGAGAGTTTAGCATAGGGTATGTTTTTTCTTATAGCTGTGTCCTGTGAGTTTCCTTCCAGCATCATCTCCACCAAATACATGATGCTTGGGAGGTATAACTGTTTTAGTGTTTTCTGTCAATAAGATTCTTTAATTAGGACAATTATAATTTTTATCTCCAATACCCAATGGACTCTTAATCCAGCCCTGCATTTGGTTGATATGCCCAGAGAACCCAAGGATTTTTGCACTTATAATTTTATTTTATTTTTCATGTAGAAATGCTAAGTATCAAAATACTTAATGTCATTATTGGATTACAAAGTAAGACTGGATGAATTGCTTGTGTTGATGTCTCTCAATTTTGAAACAGAGTCTGCTTAAATCATTACAAAACAGGTGTAGCAGGCTGACAGTTTTACTGACCGGGATAAATAATGTTTACTGATGAAAATAAATAAGTTAATGAAATTTAATCTAGCAAAGTCTGAAATTAAGAATGTTGTTTCATTTCTACAAATAAATCCTGCCCCCTCCCATGAATATGCTGAACTGTTTGTACTTACTGAACATGTAAATAATTACTAGGATAATTCTTTTATTGGCCACTGATATGCAATTATGCTTTACTGGAATTACTTTACTATATTGGGAGTTGACACGGAAATAATTTGTCAATAAGTAATAGCTGATCGGAAAGAGACAGCACAATGAACATGAACATATATTTAGATGAATGGGTTTCTCCTTAACCCCTTAAGGACCAAACTTCTGGAATAAAAGGGAATCATGACATGTCACACATGTCATGTGTCCTTAAGGGGTTAAATAGGATTATCATTTTCTAGATTTACCTAGAAACCATAAATGCGATTATACATTTCTACTAGCTTGTGACTAATGGAAAAAAAAAGTAATTCAGCAGGAAAAAAACAAATAATTAAAAGTAATAAAACAAGTTGCTTTACCCAACTATAAGATTGGTTGGGGCAAAATCTCCCTCCTCCTGAATCTAACAGTTGTGAATATATTTCTGGTACATGTACGTTGGGTCCACATTATTCTAAAAATAATCCGAAATTAGATATTCCCCGTGACGAAACAACTATCCGCAGAGGTTATTTTAGGAGGTGCTTAATGGGTGCTGCACACCCTCAAACATCCTGCAAGTGCATGATAAAAGGTTTTATAAAGAGAAAGTTCCACATGTTAAAAAAATAAATAAAATTTAAAAAAATCGCAAAATGTAGAGGAGCCTTGCAGCTACTGTTTGTTCTTCCTTAATCGAAAAGCATTTTTTACACAGTTCTGCTTGATTAAGTGACAAATTGGAATGCATGAGCTGCAGCAGACCCAATGTATATGTTTAGCCAACAAGACTTAAAATGATTATCCATCCCTGTTTTACTTTACATAACAGATGCAAGCTGTGTGACAGGGGGATTAATCTAAAGTATAGTATCAGTAAATGTGCTTAATGCATTCTCTCTTGTTTTCAAAGCCAGGCCAGGCTGTGTGCTGCAGCAGACAATGAGTTAAACTTGCTCACATTTCAATTACCTGTACATGCCTTTCCGTAGTTGTACCTTTGTCTGCCCTCTTATTTAGTTTGATGTTACATGTTTAAACAGGCACTCTGTACTTTGCCTGAATAACCTCCAATCAGGTTGGCCACGACTTACAAATTAGTAGGAGACCTCTGTCTGTGTGCTTAGTAATAATGCTATTCAGTTTGATGAGAAGGCCGCGCTATGTTTTTTCATTCCTCTACACTCTGTCATTAGCCTTGGCAATAAAAAAATGAAGCTGTAAAAAAAAAAAAAATTCTATATATTATTAAACATGAGTGTCTCTTTGTTATCCAAGATGTGGAATAGTGTCAGAACATCAGTAGTTTTGATAAAAGTTTTAGAGGCCCTGTGTAGCTGGAACTTGCAAGCAAATAAAGTTATCTTGTCAGAAGCACATGTGCAATACTGTACAATAATACAACTACTCACTGTAGTGAATATGGTGCCAGAGATGCAAGGGCATTCATGGTACCATAACCACTACAGTGTAAGGAGTCAAACTGTATTGGAAAGGTTTGACTTATGACCTTTGGTCCACCGGGTACCTCCACTACCAATGCTGGAGAGAGAGAATTTCCCAAGCAGGTTGTTCCATTAGATCTCCTGGGAGCATTAATAGTTGAGCCTGTTCAAAAACTCATTACAATGTAGTAGTCTGCAGGACACTCCAGGCACTGTAGTACAGATTGAGTGGACCTTTAAATTTAAAGCATTTAAGGTGATTGATAGAAAATGTGTAAGAATTATTGCTTTGATCGGTTGAAGCGAAGGTGATAGTTTAACAAACCAAATGACTGAAGAAAAGGCATGAGTGTTTTTGAAAGAGTGCACAATTAATATATACTTAGATGCGCAATAAAAGTGTCATCCTCAGCCTGCTCAACAATTACATTTCTTTGGCTAACACGTTATCAATTACTTGCTGCATTACTATTATAATAAAACCTTGATTTATATCATAGTTCTGTAGTCTCATCCATCCTTGGCTCAACAGGTTACACAAAACATATTTTATTAACCAGTAGTTACTTTACTTTTTTTTTTTACTTTTTCCATACCAGCCAGTCTGAATGTTAAGAGTTTCCTATTATTACCTCTTCTGCTACTTCTGCTATTTTATATTGTACACGCAGAAATTCCAGTTACATATTGATATTTTAATTTTATTTTTTTTAATAATCATCACAAGGTTTAATTGTCTTTTATGTTTGTTTTGTTTTTTTTGTTACTTCTTCTTTACAATTACCAAACCAAACCAACATAGCAATATAGATGCAAGCAATATAGCATGTTTTAAATTCTGGAAATAAAAATGCATACTGTTTACATTGATGTTGGGAGTTAAAGTTAAGTAATGGAAAAAGATAAAGCTGTTTGCAAGTTACCTGGACCCTATTATGTCATAAATTACTAAACAACCTCTTTAAGAGCCCTGGAGCAATTAAACCTTTTTTCATGTTGCACTAACCTCATTAGTGACACCTTTGTTTACAAAGCAGCAAGCTTCACTTGTGACCTTCTAAATACATATGTTAAGAGGTGATTTGCTGCTGGTTTACACTGGTTACATTCTGTTTTGTAGTTTCTTAATGGCAACTCCAGTCTAAAGTCTGTAACTGATTTACCCAGATATCTTAATCACACTTGACTGCTTCAAGGTATTACATCCTTTAGATTTCTTCACTTCCAATATCGCCTCCATGTAACCAAGCAAGCTCAGTCGCTCAACACAGCCAGGTTTTAGTCCTGTGGATTCTTTCCTGCTTACTGAATGCAATTGATGTTCTCTTTCTTGGTAAGAACACTGTGCATACTGCATGCTAGCAATTTCTTTTTAAAGGAAAGATGTGTATATAGTAATTAGTTGGGGTTAACATTCCTACAAGGTATCAGTCAAAGAAAATAACTGTTTTATGTTTAGCATTTGATTACTTTTATTGAAGTGTAGATGCTCTGAAGAAGCTGTAGATGTCAATGCTGACGTGTAGGTGCTGGGATGCTGTACACATAAAACAGTTTGCTTGATATTTTATGTCTTCCTTTCTTTATAATGTACTCTATGTACATTCATTTCCTATTGGTACGAATACAAATCCACTAAAATATTTAACTAGGCTATTTTTCCTGCTCTGCTTTATTGTCCTCCAATGTTTTTTCGATTACCTTGCCAATGTTCCACAATTACTGGTTTAGAGAAGAAAACCCCTGAGTGTGTTTATAAACATGCAAAGTGTAGGGTCATAGAGTGTCATACAACTTGGGCCAGATGCTTGATTATGCCGATTGATGCTTTTCACCAATCTAGGTTTGGTACCAGAGTATGGATGGAACCAGAGTATGGATAGAATCACAGGCAGTGCTCTTCCCTCCAGGAGAAAGGTCTTGTGCATTGTCAGGAGTAGCCCATGCAGCTTGTTTTGGCTGTTGATAGTGCACGCCGAATAGTTTTAGATTTCTGACACCTTGGGCTTTAAAAAAAAAAGTATCCACACTCTCCAGTTTGCTATTCTTTTGTAACATGCTTACTAAAAATGCTCATCATAATGCTCCAGCTGAGGACAGCGTGGTTGAATGTAACTCCAAACTGGACCCAACGAACACAACGTTCCTCAAGATGGCGGACAGCGGTGGGTTACCACAGGTCACTCAGCCTGGAAAACTGACAGAAGCATTTAAATATTTCCTCCAAGGCATGGGATACATGCCATCAGCCAGCATGACTCGCCTTGCCCGATCACGTACCGCGTCTCTCACCAGTGCCAGTTCTGTGGATGGAACTCGCCCCAGACCTTGCACCCAGTCAGAAAGCAGCGAGGGCATCGGGCAGATAAATCACACCATGGAAGTGTCCTGCTGAATGCCTGCCGACCCATGTACCAGTCAGCCCTTCCTCCCACCCTTTCATTCCCCACTTCTTTACTGGTTTTGCTTACTGTTTCCCACCCCCCGCAGCCCCCTTTAATTCGCGCCTGGCGTTTTTTGGGGGGGAATTCTACTCGAACAACGAATGCGGTTCACCTTCCATCTGGTCCAGTGTTTTAGGGCCCATTCCTGTTAGATGTCAGCCAGGGGATTGTGGGAGATTAGGGGTGCGGTAATGGCCAGCAGTCCCTGCCATCAAGGTATGTCATGGTCTACCAATGGCTGATAGGACAGTAGATTGTTTACGTTATGTTTATCTCTAGTGAACTGGGCCAACTTGGCAGGAATCAGTCTGGACAATGGGAGGACACAGTTCTTGCTGATGAAGATTAGCTTTCACTTGATGAAATATAGAGGTGATCTCTTACAAGCAGTGGTAGTTGGAGGTATTCTCATGACACGGTTGACCTGGAGTTTTTTTTATTTATAAAGCACTAACGTATTCTAAAGAGCCATACAACGGGTTCACAAAACATATGAACAGGTTTCAAGAGAGATCTGCGGTTCTTTATTTGATCTGCTTGTCTGATTTGGCGTGATCTGTTGGTCTCGTGGTATCAGACATTGTGCTAGTGTCTATGGGAGTGAAAGCCAGGCCCATGTAGCTCACTGCTGTCTATGATTCTAGCTGGTGTGGTGTGGCTTATGTCTAACTGGCGATGAAAGTGATGCTGTCCTGATGCCACGAGGTTGGAAGGGTTTGTTATGAAGGCAGTGAATGTGCCACAGACTTGGTCAGAGCGCGTGTATGGTGCAGAAGGTAGACTGATGGATCACATTGAGGAGTTAGGTCTGTGCCATGGACAGGATTCCACAAACCTCATGTGTCTGATCTGTATTCTGTCTGCTCCACTCCCACCATGGTGTTGCCCCCAAGTGTTCTAATTCTAGAGTTACCTATATACATAATCTCCCATCCCCCTTCTCTCCTTGTGGCTCCATGCTTTGTGTTCTGTATGTTTTTTTTAAGGTGGAATTTATTGGCTCCTGGTTGTTCTATCTCCTGTGTGCACAGTGATTCTGTAACCTTATAGAATATGTAGGATACTGTTTCGTGTGTACATTGCAATGCTTGATGCTTTTAGTTGCATTAAAGCTGTCAATACAAACTATACCATGCTGAGTCGAGAGAATATACGCGAATTCATGTTGGAAAATCTGAATAAAATACTCAAATCTGAAAAAAAAAAAAAATGCTCATCATTATTTTTAGCCTATAATCTTGATATCTTTGTAATAATTTTTTTCTCTAGCATAACAGATGTTTTTGATCACTGCCTGAAAACTTAGGTTCTTTTGGGGAGTGCTGTTTATGGTAAACACCAGCCATTAAAGCTTTTACTGATTAACGAAAAAAGACCAATAAACCGTTAATAAATAGCCATATTGCACCATTTAAAATACATTTCTAAATGTATGTGACTTTCCTGCTTAGATGATTTGAGGTATGTTCACTAAACAAAAGTTTGTGAACCAATATTGGGACACATAGAAACATAGAAACATAGAATGTGACGGCAGATAAGAACCATTCGGCCCATCTAGTCTGCCCAATTTTCTAAATACTTTTATTAGTCCCTAGCCTTATCTTATAGTTAGGATAGCCTTATGCCTATCCCACGCATGCTTAAACTCCTTTACTGTGTTAACCTCTACCACTTCAGCTGGAAGGCTATTCCATGCATCCACTACCCTCTCAGTAAAGTAATACTTCCTGATATTATTTTTAAACCTTTGTCCCTCTAATTTAAGACTATGTCCTCTTGTTGTGGTAGTTTTTCTTCTTTTAAATATAGTCTCCTCCTTTACTGTGTTGATTCCTTTATATATTTAAATGTTTCTATCATATCCCCCCTGTCTCGTCTTTCCTCCAAGCTATACATGTTAAGATCCTTTAACCTTTCCTGGTAAGTTTTATCCCGCAATCCATGAACCAGTTTAGTAGCCCTTCTCTGAACCCTCTCTAAGGTATCAATATCCTTCTGAAGATACGGTCTCCAGTACTGTGTACAATACTCCAAGTGAGGTCTCACCAGTGTTCTGTACAATGGCATGAGCACTTCCCTCTTTCTACTGCTAATACCTCTCCCTATACAACCAAGCATTCTGCTAGCATTTCCTGCTGCTCTATTACATTGTCTGCCTACCTTTAAGTCATCAGAAATAATCACCCCTAAATCCCTTTCCTCATATGTTGAGGTTAGGACTCTATCAAATATTCTGTACTCTGCCCTTGGGTTTTTACGTCCAAGATGCATTATCTTGCACTTATCCACATTAAATGTCAGTTGCCACAATTCTGACCATTTTTCTAGTTTACCTAAATCATTTGTCATTTGGCTTATCCCTCCTGGAACATCAACCCTGTTACATATCTTAGTATCATCAGCAAAAAGACATACCTTACCATCAAGACCTTCTGCAATATCACTAATAAAAATATTAAAGAGAATGGGTCCAAGTACAGATCCCTGAGGTACCCCACTGGTGACAAGTCCAAGCTTCGAATATATTCCATTAACTACAACCCTCTGTTGCCTGTCACTCAGCCACTGCCTTACCCATTCAACAATATTGGAATCCAAACTTAAAGATTGCAGTTTATTGATAAGCCTTCTATGTGCAACAGTGTCAAAAGCCTTACTGAAATCTAGGTAAGCAATGTCTACTGCACCACCCTGATCTATAATTTTAGTTACCCAATCAAAAAAATCAATAAGATTAGTTTGGCATGATCTCCCTGAAGTAAACCCATGTTGTCTCTGATCTTGAAATCCATGTGTTTTTAGATGTTCATCAATCCTATCCTTTAACATGGTTTCCATCACTTTCCCCACTACTGAAGTAAGGCTTACTGGCCTATAGTTGCCCGACTCCTCCCTATTACCTTTCTTGTAAATGGGCACAACATTCGCTAACTTCCAATCTTCTGGGACTACTCCTGTTAACACTGATTGGTTAAATAAATCTGTTAATGGTTTTGCTAGTACACCACTAAGCTCTTTTAATAGCTTTGGGTGTATTCCATCAGGTCCCATTGACTTATTTGTCTTTACTTTTGACAGTTGAAATAGAACCTCTTCCTCTGTAAACTCACGTGTAATAAATGACTCATTTATCCTTTTTCTCAACTGAGGTCCCTTTCCTTCATTTTCATCTGTAAATACAGAACAAAAATATTCATTGAGGCAGTCAGCTAGACCTTTATCCTCTTCTACATACCTTCCTTCTTTTGTTTTTAATCTAACTAATCCTTGTTTTACTTTTCTTTTCTCATTTATGTATCTAAAAAATGTTTTATCCCCCTTTTTTACTGACTGTGCTATTTTCTCTTCTGTGTGTGATTTGGAAGCTCTTATAACTTGCTTAGCCTCTTTCTGCCTAATCTTATAGATCATTTTGTCTCCCTCACTCTGGGTTTTTTTATAATTCCTAAATGCTAACTTTTTGTTTTTAACTATTTTGGCCACATCTGCGGAGTACCACAGTGGTTTCTTGAATTTTTTGCTTTTACTGACAAGCCTAATGCAATTTTCTGTTGCCTTCAATAGTGCAACTTTTAAATAATCCCATTTCTCTTGGACTCCATTTAAATTGCTCCAGTCTGATAATGACTCCTCTACCCATATTCTAATTTTAGAAAAGTCTGTTTTTCTAAAGTCTAAAACTTTTGTTTTTGTGTGGTGTGACTCAGTCACTGTTCTTATATTAAACCACACTGACTGATGATCACTGGATCCTAAACTTTCACCTACAGTAATATCTGATACCAAATCTCCATTTGTTAACACTAAATCTAGTATGGCCTCTTTACGAGTTGGCTCCTCAACAACTTGTTTTAGAGACAATCCCAGTAGGGAGTTTAGAATATGTGTGCTCCTGGCACAAGTAGCTAATTTTGTTTTCCAATTTACATCAGGAAGATTAAAGTCACCCATGATGATAACTTCCCCCTTCATTGTCATTTTAGCTATTTTCTCAACTAGTAGATTATCTAACTCTTCAATTTGTCCTGGGGGCCTATAAATCACACCTACACGAGTTACTGTGTGATTACCAAATTCTAATGTAGCCCAAACGGACTCTATGTTTGCCTCACTAACTTTTATTAGGCTAGATTTTATGCTATCCTTCACATACAAGGCCACCCCTCCCCCTTTCTTGCCTTCCCTATCTTTCCTATATAAAGAGTACCCTGGTATTGCTATGTCCCAGTCATTTTTCTCATTGTACCATGTCTCAGTAACAGCGACTAAATCTACACTATCAGTTGCCATTATTGCCACAAGTTCATGGATCTTATTCCCTAAACTGCGAGCATTTGTAGACATGACTCTAAGCTTATCATTTTTTAACACACTTGCTACAGGCACCTTCTGTCCTTGTTTTGGGGGACAATTGGATTGATGTTTAATCACCCTTTTGCCCCCCCCTCCTAGTTTAAATACATCCTAGCAAAACCTCTGAACTGCTCACTGAGAACATTTGTTCCCTTTTGAGAAAGATGCAAACCATCTTTTTTGTACAGCTTATCTCCATTCCAAACAGAGCTATCATGAGAAATAAAGCCAAATCCTTGCTCCCGACACATATCTCATTTTACCATAACATATGTATGAGAATGGTACTTCTGGTGTTTATAATGTCCCTTTAAAGTGGAAATCAATGCATCAGAACCACTACTCCGTCCCTGCAGTTTGACAAATGTAAACATTGCTGTTTGCGTGCAACATTTGTCAGTCAGAAACCCTCTAGTGTTAGTTATTCAGACAGCCACTAGAAGCACTTCCTATTGATGATGTTCCATAATTGAAGGGCCACAGTGCTTCTCTATGAGAAGGAATGGATTTATCCAAAATCATCAGTCAGTATGATCTCAGAAGAAGTGCTGCATCCGCAATACCAAGACTGGGATCGAGCTGGATCAAAAAACAGTTTTGTTTTGCTTATTCTTCATTTAACAATGATGGAGAGGATCACTCTAGTATTATGTATCCATTTATTTGGGCACTCAAATAAACTAAAGGAATTGATAGCTTCAACACATTGAACACAGTCAGTAAACAATATTACAGAAAAGAAAATGCATGTGTGTTAGTGAAAACTTCACTTTCATTGTATCAATTCCATTAAAATAACTGGTACAACTGGTAATCATAAAATCACACTCCCAAGGTGTGAATAATTCCTTATATAAGGACAACACTCAGCTCATAACCAGAGTTTTTCAATGGGTTCCAAATATAGCAAATACCCTACTTATCTGGTATAGTTTGAACCCATTGAGGAGCTCTCATTATGAATTGAGTGTTGTCCTTGTATAAGGCATTAATCACACCTTGGGAGTGTGATTTTATGATTACTATTCCCCCCCCCTCCCCCGCCCCGTTTATTTGAATGGAACTGGCACAATAAAAGGGAAGTTTTATTTATCACCAACACACAGCCTTTTTCTTTTCAATAAACAAGATTATTTATTTATAATGCAGGCTGTTCTGCTAACTGTAAATCACAGTCCAATGACTAGTCCTAGAAAATGGAACTCTCCGAGTCAAACCATTTGATTGTGTTTTATTCATTTTTATCTATTTATTTCAAGGACTGTCAAGGTAAAATGTAGGTCTGCACTTCTTTATTTTTAGTTCCTCCAGTATACCTTTCAAATAAAACCAGATTAATTTAAAATGTTATTGTCTCTGTAATTCCTAGTATAAAAACTACAAAAAAAATTGCCAGAGTTCAATTATACGCCCTTCTTACAGTAACGTATCTATATGACACACAACGGGCAGGAGCTGTATAAAAGAATACAATACAGGAACAGTTTCTCCATTACTCTTATTTTCTTATCACATTATCCCTCATTGTAACAACTAATGCAGAAAAGCCCAGACAGATGCAAAACAACTTGTTAAATCTATGTTAGGATGGCTGTCGGCAGAAATCTTTTGTGGTCATTTAATGTAATGTCTCTTTCTCTCTCTCTGTGGGTAAACGCCTGCAGAATGACTTGCCATTCTCAATCAGCAGTGCTTTTGAATTCTTATTCATTGCTTTTACTATTAATTGTTCATGTTAAAACATGTCTCCTAATTGTGTAATTTGCAGGTGTATGTCTTTTTAATAATTTAAAATTATGCAAACTAACTTCTGCATTTTATATATGATAAATATTTTATTCAAACAAAATA